ATCTCAAATCCATGTCAAGGCATGGGGAGTAAGTAGGGAGTAGATCACAAACTGGTACAACTAAATACCAGCACCATGAAATCTGATGGTTCCAGCCAGGCATTAATGTATGAAGAGCTCGCAGTGACAACTGGTTGGAGTGACATGTTACTATGACTAACATTGCAGTTTTTTAAGCTCAATCTGACATTAGATTTACTAACGTTTAAATACAAACAGAATGCAATGAAAGCAAATCTCCATCCAATATAGATTTTCAGCCTTTCCACTTTTGCACAGAGATTTTTCCAGATTCTCTTCTATTTAATAACATTGTGCACTGCAGATGATGAGATATTCAAAATCGTTACATTTTGACTTTGAGGAATTTAAAATCGGGAGCCTGATCTTGGTATTTTTCTTTAAAAAGTAATGGTTTCAGTTTAAACAATTGATATGGTTTATGAGATTTGCAAAAATAATTTGCAAGTCGCTACACTTCTTAGATTAATTTTACATCTTGCACGTTATTTACATCTTAATTCTCTCACAGTAGGAGATGTAAAATAAAACTAACAACTAGTTACTCTGAAACTGGGCTACATATGAAATGTTATATATGTAACATATCTCGCCCTTAATCCGTGTCTTTCATTTTTCATTGGTGCCCTTTTAGCTCATCAAATTCTTTAACTGTTACCCCCAGGTGAAAATTTTCTCTGTTGCCTTCACCCCCGGTAGCTCCGGTTGGCAGACTGTTGTGGTGCCTGACAGTCTGTGCCCTCTGTCACAGGCTTACGGGACAAATATAGATCTGTGGCAGTTGTTCCTCTCTAATAGCGTACATACCAGTGTAGGCACAGTGGGGGTATTTCTGTCATGCTTGTAAGGGAAATACAGTTTGCAAGGCATTAATAATCTACATATGGAGTTTCAAGAATAGATTTAGCATTTCATCTGTTCAAATTATTTAAATGATGTTCATGTTTCTTAATGTGGTTTGTTGTGTCAAAATGTAGAGCTATTTATAGTTCCACAGTCTCAAATGGAAAGAAGCAAGAGTGAGCTGTTATTTTTTCAAAATGGATTACTTACAGGAAGTACGTATACATAAAGGTTAACAGGTTCAACCCACTAGTGCTGTTAAAACAATGAAGTTAATTAATATTGTAATGCTTTATTTTTTATCGCTATAGAAAATGTTAGTGGTTGAAGTTGAAGCCCCTTAAGTAAAACAAATCCGCATTAGATGGATCACAGAAATGCACATTATAATGAATGCAACTTACTAAGTGCATATTGTGTGCTTAAATGGTCTTTTCATTTGATATGAGGTATACTAATACACTAATGGTGGCCTGTTAAGCTTGGCTTACAGACATAGCTGGATAGTTACAGGAATCCCTTTTCAGATTCACAAATGCATTTGCACATGTTTATGAAGTGATTTCTCTGATGATTATAAAACTCTGATTTGGTACAGTTGCAGGTCTTATATAAGAATATTACGCAGGTAAAACCAGAAAAAGCCTCAGGACTCCAATGGGAGCTGGGAAAAGCCTGATGTATTGCCTCAGGTGATAAATGTAAAAATGTCACTTTGCACAGGGAGCTAAAAAGTACTAGTTTAAGAAAGGGGGAAAAACTTGAAGATTTTGACATTTAAAAAAAAAAATGCTTAGCAGACCTCTGTGAACTACTCCTCATTTGTGACTAAGGTTGCATTAGCTGCTCCAAGTGTAACACCCTCTTACCCTCAAATATGTTAATACACTCTCTGCAGCCAAGATGCAGTGCAACGGGTAGACGAATGATTAGAATAATAAAACCTTTTATGGCGCTTTTATATGAGATAAACTGCTACGTTGGTAGAGTACTTTTTTTAATTATGTCATTAACCTCTTTAGGTTTAACATTAATAGATGAGCACTAATTAATTAAACTCTTGTATGCTGAAAATTTCATTATCTTTGCCGTCTTTTTTCTTGCTGGATATCTGTGTCTAAATGTTTTGTTCTTTCCTTTTTACTGGAGTGAGACAGTAGGAAACCTGCTTGGACATACAGAGAACTGAGCAGAAGTTCGGCAGACCTTAACCTCTGTGGCAATCAACCAACTCATCTGAGGCGTTGATGGAGTGGAATGGGCCATCTGTGTGAACTCCATTTGTGTCCCTGAGGCCAATGTGGCCACAGCAAGGTCAGGCTAGTTTGCGCCAGACCCAATGAATGGACCACAATGGATTTTCTCTGGCTGAAATACTAGGCTTCTCTGCCCATTGATCGACTCTCTTGAAGTTTAGTTTTCTGTTTTACTCAAGAATTTGCCTTTGAGAAAGCAGCTAACCCACCGAGTATAAATGAAAAGAGTGTGAAGAGGTGTGGGAATATTGTGTTGGCAGTTTGTTTGTCAAAATCCAAAAGGCGCTCTAGTTTTGAATAGTTAGAATGAGAAGTAAGCATTTGAATCAGAGCGGGGTAAAAGTCTGGATTGTATGGGTCATTGATGTAAATAGTCCGTACATGTTTTCATGGACATACTATACTTAAATGTACACAGGCATTCAATCAAATCAGTCAATCAATGAATTTGTTGATTATTCAGCCTCTTTCACTCGCACACTCTATCTGAGGCCCAGCAATTGGCTATAATCAACTCAAAGAAAAAGAAATGTGTAGCTCATGCTAACAGTACATTCACTGCAGCAGCTCCAAACCGTCTCTAAGGGCAGAGACAAAAGAGCAGCTTAAAAGATTGAAGATCCTGAAGAGTGAAAGTGCAACCAACAGTGTCTTTGCATTTATTTATTTATTTTTTGGAAACACTGTTCCTTAAAATCACACCAAATACTGCACTTATTAAAATCAAGATTGTGCAACAGCTTGTTGAATTTCCCACCAACTTAAGCTAAAATGTTGCACACACCAGCATGACTTTACAGTCAGTATGCTTTGTAACTGAAACAATGTTAACACTAATTGTGAATCTGAATAGCGTTCACTACCCTCTGCCCACAACTTCATTGCTATCATCTACCACTGTTACATGACATTTGGGCAAGTGTGTAACTTTGTAAGTGAACTAGTGCTAAAGCCAGTTTAGACCTGGATAAACAGATTAGCTAATAAAAATTTTTTTAAAAAGTAATAAAATGCACCGTCGGGATAGTGGTTAAATTGCATGGTGCAGTATCTACTACTGAATGTATACCTCTATATATAAGATGTTCAAACCATGTCATCCTGTCACCCTATACTCTTTAGTTTTCCTCAAAGGAAATCAGTGAAGACCAGTGGCTATGTTCATCCTTGATTGTAAAATATAAATGCTTCTTATACTGTATATTGCTAAAATGTATCCTTTTGAAAGCTTCCCTCTGTTTTTTGAAGTGGGTCAGTGCAGATATCTGATACTGGAGGAGGGCCTGATCAAGAGACAAGCCAAGAAAAAGTTCTACTTGTAAGGAACAGCTTCCCTTTCATCCCAGAGTGCCTCCCTGGTCTTTTTATCTCTTTCTCTCTCTTCTCCTTTCTCTTGTACTCTTGTGTCATACCCATCTTTAACTATGCACAAATGATTTTTAGAATTGCTGAGGTTCGCTGAGCAGATTTTAGCTTCACTTATTTACCCCAGTGGAGGCAAGCTTTGAGCTTTCACGTTGTTGTTTTCTTTCTGTTCATCATTTCTCTTTCATTTATTTCAGGCTACTTTGTCTTTTAATGAAGTGATTCTCAAAGTGCAAACCACAGGGAAACTTGAGCTGTAAGGTTTGTCTTTAGTTATATAACGGGAAAGAGATGATGAGACTCATGACTTGAGAAATTTGAGATGAATGAAAAGAGGAAGAGAATGTTCTCATATTGTGATACAGCAAAAAGAGAACTATGCCGTTTTGAGTCCACATGCAAGTGTGTGTGCACGAAAAAGAGAAGACGGTTTCACAGAGTACAAAGGGAGGGGAGCAACATTGTTCCTCCCTTCGTCCTACTTCCTTTACCATAGCTCTATTTGCCATGGGTGTGGGGGTGTGGAGGGTTGGGTGTGGGGGGGTGAAAAGGGGAAGGAAGGGCAATAATATCCTCACATTACAGCACATGCTGCTTTTACCTCACACACAGATATGGGTTTTGATGGACAGCTATAAGTTGTTTTTTTTTCCCCACAAATCCACTGCCTGAGCGACAGTGAATGTAAAGTGTCATTGTCAGGCTTGCCTTTCTCCTTGGGGCTGACAGTGACATCAACACCCTCGCTCTTGTCAGCTTGACTGCATCTGTACTTGTGGAATAATGACGGAGCTCAGGATGGCTGAGAACGTCTTATTGGATAGACTGCTCAGTAGTCCCCCCAATAAGCCTTTTTTCAAGAGACGATGCTTAAGTGATGTGAGTATTTTTCATTTGCTGGAACTGAGTTTGTTATTTCTGTTATCTTGCTTGATTCTTAAGTTTGCTCGGGAACACAAATATAAATATAGTATGTGTGGTGTTGTAGAAAAGGAAGTAATGAAACTGTGTTAATTGCACAGACAGATAACACTTCACTGATCTTTTTGTTTTAGGAAGGAACTGTTAATAGCAAATACCTTGGTAACCTGGTTTCATTATGTAAATATTTTGCATGTCCCGTAATAAGATGGTTTTCCTTGCATAGTTCGGGTTTGTGTGCTCATAGAGTGCCTCCACAATTTGGGAGTGCACTGCTTCTTTTTCTCTCTCTCAAAAAAAAAAAGAATTCGGCACTGACGTGGCTGCTGTGGAGTCTGTGTGGTTCACTGATAATCTGTTCAGCCTAGGACAGTGTTTGTTGATGTTTGTTTTGCAGTCAAGAGAGCAGTATCTCCTTGAATATCATATGGCACTGTTTATTTTCACATAGAACAATAGACTGGGGCTGCACCTTTGGCTTTACTAGGTCAGGATCAGATGTGCGTGCATTTGTGAAGCATGCTTTCATGGGTGGAGGCGTATATATATATAAGAGTGCAAAAATATATTAGAACACACACATGTGAAAAATGTATATACACACACATGTATACTATACCCTCGCGGTGTGTGTGTGCGTTGGTGTTTGTGTGTGTGTAGGTGTTTAGCAAGCCCCTGCAGTGCTCCTCAGTAAATTTAATCTGTCATGTGGAAACATCAGCTTGGCACTTCAGTCCACTTGTGTTACATGGTGAACAGAGGGCTCGCCCCACAACAGGCACTGCTGTCAGGGCTGCTGCAGTTCTCTCCTCCTTCAGCTCAGGTTGGAGCTGCTTAAAATCCTTAATGTGGCCTCTGCAGATGAAGGGTCATGCCTAAGGGCATTTTCTTTTGCTTAACCTCAACAAGTGATTCTCCTAATTGAGCAAAAGTATATTATTTAGGGTGTAATGAAAAGCCAGTAGTGGCATTGAAATCTGTGTGTCTAATTAGCAATATTAGTATCAATTCCCTAAGTGGACACGTGCTCATTACCAAGCATCATGATTACAGCATGGCTGATATCAAACAGAGTTGCCAGATCATGTATGATAATTTATTTTAATGTCATGTTTTGGACTCTTCCTGTTGCCTGATAGGTTGTAGTGTGAAGTGTGTCTCTTTCACACATGTGATGTGACTGTGTGCTTCATGCACCAAAACCTGAGTGTCTTCCAGCTAATTGCGCAGAGTCAGATGAGCTGTTGGCTTTAGCAACAGAGAGAAGCACCATGGAGCTTTGATGCTCATTTCCCCCTAAGAGCTACTTGTTTACAGTGTGTTTGTCTTGAAGCGTGAAGGAGCGAGGGATTCTCCAGGCACTGAAGGGAGCCTCAGTGATATTGGTGTCAAGTGGGATGCGTTAGGGTGTACTAAAATGAGGCGTTAAATAGTGCCAGGGATTCCAACAGGAAATTTTTTGCCTTGAGAGTGCACAGGAAGCTTTTTCACTCAGCAGAGATGAAAACAAAGTAAACACCAAGAAGGAAAGCATGTCACCACAAATATACCCTTTTTAAAACCATGTACTACTTTGGATTTCTTTCCTCCAGACCTCGGACCTGTTTGCCATGATCGAGAGGTTGCAGGTACTGTAAATGTTCTACTGGCTCAGCTTTCTGCTTAAACCCGTTCTCCCTCACAGACTCAGAATTCTCTCTTTGGACATAAAATCTCTATTTACTTCTATTTTGAGACTCCACTTTTTTCTGTTTTTCCTGCTATTTTTTGTATTCAGCACTGTAACTCCACTATACAGGAACACTTCTCCGTGTGTGTCCATGTATTTACTATTAATGTGTCTTCTTGCAGCAGAGATAGTCTCTGGCTATCTCAAGAAACCTTATTCTTCTGAATGTGCTGAACAGATCCTTTGTGTTTTCCCTTCACATCTGTGTCATCAAGTAGCTTGACTTGTAGAAATCTAGTTTTTATTATAGCCAATGAGCTAGTGCTTCAGTGTAGCACAAACTATAAGCAAGTACTCCAGATACTAAGTAAGCCACTGGAAAGAAAGCAAAACCATCAAAACGGGTTGTTCAAAAAGAGTCTAATAATGTAGGCATCAACCACATTATTTAGCATTGAATAGGTAGCCTATAAAATGCGAAAGGGTATTTCATCTTACGTGATGTTTTTTTTTTAGGGATCAAAGTATGTCAACACAGGAAACTATTTTAATCTAAATGGTCTGCTGTGATAATATCTTATTCTCAAGAGTCGCAAAATCATTATTTAGCTTTACAAAAGTGCTATAAAGGCTATGTGACTGGTTTATCCATGAAGCTGTAGTGCTGAAAGACTCTCAGGCATAAAAAGCATGAGGTGAGATACATATTACTTATATAGTCTTTTGTACTGTCCACAGAAGGGTCAAGTGGATGATGGAAGTGAAAACATGAACAGCTTTCAGAGAATGGATTTGGTGAACACATGTGCACTTTCCCTTTGATTTGTCTTCTTTAGACAAAAAATTGCCTGGATATGCAGATCAGGAAATAGTTTTAGGAACTGTCAGTGTTAGTCAATGAAAGAATAAGAAGAGAGAGATTTTTTATAACCCTATTATGGCCCTTGAGTAGACTTGTGGATAGTGAAATCAATTGTATAGCTTGATGGACGCACTCTTTCTGTTCTTGCTGCTTTTTCTGTCTACTAGAGTTTCTAATTCCTCGGTCCTCTTTACTTCCTCTTTCTCTGGTAATTTCAATCACCTTTCTCTGGTGATCTAGATTATTTTCTGTCACAATGAACTGTTGAACGTATTGTAAAATTACCTTGCCTTATGCTGCTGCATAAGGTACTGACAGCCAGCATTGTCCTGAATCTGTATTTCTTTGTATATCTGTCAACAGCTGCTCAGATATCCTACCTGTGCCATCAGTATCCTGTCTATTTTTTCCTTCTCATCTTAACAGGGTTACAGAATGGATGAGCAAAGATGTCCCCTCCCTCCTCCCCTCAAAGTGAGTCGTAAATCCTCACATCTCCTCATAGACTGCAGTCTGGTAAAGCATCTGTAAAGTTATAAAAAAGTTATGAACCTTTTCCTTATCGGCTGTCAGACAGGCTTTAGGGTGCTCACTGGGTGAGTTAGGAGTTCGACGGGGACTAGCAGTGCAAAATCTTCTGTTACCCTCCTGTTACCTAGACAGTCTAATGCAGGTACTATTCAAGGCAAAAACTCACAAAAGGTGGTAATCAGCAAACAGAAGAACATAAATTCTTGCAAAACCCTGTAACTAAGCTTAGTTGTAAAACAATTCTATGGTAGCCTATAAAATGAGAAAGGGTCTTTCATCTTACGTGATGTTTTTTTTAGGGATCAAAGTATGTCAACACAGGAAACTATTTTAATCTGAATGGTCTGCTGTGATAATATCTTATTCCAAAGAGTCGCAAAATCATTATTTAGCTTTACAAAAGTGCTATAAAGGCTAGATTTATGTTTAAGAGACCCCAAACTCAATGATGTACAAGGTGTGTTAAAAAACCTCTGAGAGCAGGTGCATAAAAATCAAAAGCCTTGTATGATTTAAATTTGGCCTTTCTCAAGTTCAGGGTTATATTCTCATGCACCTCTGGACTGTTTTCAGTGCAGCTGCATTTTTTTAGATCACTTAGGGGGGGAGGCTGTTAAAGCTTCGTTGTGTTCCTCTGTGATAAGCAATGCATCTCCTGCAGTGTGCCATAGTGTCAATCCTGGCAAGCAGTCCAAGGTGGTGGGCAAAGATTATATCAGCATGGCCAGAAAAACAGCAGGCGATGGCTAGCTGGCATGAAACCACAGTTCAGATCATTTCCTCCCAGTGATCTCTTTTAGATGCCTCCGGATGTTACAACAGAACTCTACATTTACAGTCTTACCCTGGGAAATGAATCTGTGGTGCATAACCAAAGAAAGGTGGGAAAGGGGGGGTGGAGACAAAAGCATATGCTTCTTCTTTCATTCTTCAATTGCTTAATTGCCTTTGGGGCTTGGAAACTGTAGACTTGTCTGCTAAAAACTGTGGAAAACTACTAGGTCATAGCCAGGGACCCAGCACGTATCACTACTGACAATTCTCCACACAAATTTTGGGTCAAACAGAAGTTCATATTTGTTTTCTGCCCATGTTTGAGTTTCATGGTAAAATTGTAACACATAACTTGTAAGTCTGAACAAGACATCCAGGGAGGGATCTAAAAATAGCACCGGTGCAGGAAGCTGTCTGGTCATGGCCGAGAAGATGGCCAGAATTTAATTATGCAAGGCTTTTGATATTTGTGGTTTTTATAATCACATCTGCTTATACCTTGAAATTAAAAAAACAAGTGATTATTTAGTGCCAAACAAGCCTTCTTTGTATTATCATGTTGGTATCATATCATCTATACTAGGCTCTCTATTTAATATTAACTTCTAATTTGCACATATGTCAACAGAAACATATTTTGGGTAAATTCATTAGCCAGGAAATCTTTATGCCATGTAAAAGACCATCAATGGAGAGTTGCTTTTTCCATCAACTGCTCCTGCACTTGATGTATGAATGACAGCATCTATCAGTTAACTCGTTCACTATTTATAAATTGCCATAAAATTGCTTACATTCTTACTGGTCCACCAAGTTTCTTCATTTCTGACCTCTCCCTCTGTGCATTGTCACAAGAACTGTTATGTAAGGGAGTGTGACCTTCATTTACACATTTCACAAAGTTCTCAGTGTCACTTCTGCCACATGTTGCCCGTAGCTTGTAATGAAAGAAATCTTGCTATTCTTTGCTGGAAACATGAAACATTCTTGAGGAAAAGAGAAAACCAGTATATTAAATTGAGCGAATGTTGTTGGAGTGCAACAAGCATTAAAAATTAATACTGCAGCAAGTGAATACAGCTACAGAGGATAACATGAGAGAAAATATTTGCTATTACATGTTGTTCAGGGATTTTTTTTTCTACACATTGCAGCACATATTAGCTACCAATAACTGAAAGTAAGCCTTTATAATGTCAACTTTTAGACATCCAGATGAATATAACTGTGGGTGAAGGGTTGTCCTGTTATCATTTTGACCCTGGGGGGTTGTAACACCCAGATACGGGAGGTTATAAAATATGTAAACCTTTGCCAGATGACAGCCAAGTTTAAATAGCCTTTCAATAGTCACATAATCAAAACTGGGACAATGAATACAGACTGAAGCCTTAGATAACAGTTTCTTGAATAACAAAAAGAGCTAAAGCGTTTATTCGTTTCTCTTATTTCTCAAAGAAAGCTGACAGTGTGGCCTCTTTCGTGATTTCAGAATAAGAAAAAGTAACAGAACAATGCAGAACTGAAACCTACTATAGTTAATATTCTGTCACAGTGTCTGTGCTCATCGTTGTTTTCCAAAGAACCAAAAGTGAAAGTATGACTACAAGCGGCTGTTTGTCAGCCTGACTCATATTAATTTCTGTCCCTGCAGACAGAAGAAGACTACATCCCTTATCCCAGCGTTCATGAGGTATAGTCCACATATCCTCTGTATAAATAGTTTACACACTACAAAGCAACTTTAAAGATGTCAGAAACTGTAATGCTAAAGATTCAAATGGGAATACACAGTTTCTGAGGCAGTGAAAGCAATGCAGTGCATGGTGCCAAACACTCACTATTAATAATGGCACTATACTTTACTTTTCTCTGTTACCATTATTTCCTGTGACTTTCAGGTTCTGGGTCGCAGCAGTCCTTTTCCACTCATACTCCTGCCCCAGTTTGGAGGCTACTGGATTGAGGGGACCAATCATGAACCTAAAGACCCACCAGAGGCAGATCAACCTCCCTGTCCTACCTCCCACATTAAACTGGAAACAAACAGTACTGCAAAGATCTACAGGAAGCAATTCATGGGCAAGGTAAAACTCAAGAAGCAAAATCTCTTCTTTCTTTTCCTTTGTTTTAAAGGATTAATCTTTATTTCTTCATTCTAGTATGTAATCTTGAAATGTGCAAGTATATTGAGGAAGACCCATCTTTTGATTGAGCCAATATAATATCTTATAAAATAACACTTGTTTCTAAAAACTCCTAACACATCTAACACTTAGGCACAGGGCAATGAAAGCAAAGGAAGAACATGTGTGTTTGTGTCATTTGTAAACATTAGGCACAGAGTAATAGTAGTTGGCTTTCTGAAGACTTACAGTATAATTATTAGCATTTTCTTGTCTACTTTAAATGCAAATCTATTGTGTAGCAAAAGAAATTGGCATTGCAACACAAGATTTCGCAAAAGTTGTCTCAATGTACGCTCGTACATTTTCTGCAAGAGGAGGTCAACCACTTTCCTTAAACAGAAGCCTTTTTCTTTAAGCCTCTTTATTTGTAATTTACAAAAACATTTTTAGTATTCTATTGCTAACTATTGGAACAATATGTATTCTTCCATTAAAATTTCCTCTGCGTATCTTCCCCTAGGAACACTTTAATTACTACACCATGGATGCTGCCCTGGGCCACTTGGTCTTTTCAATGAAGTATGATGTCATTGGGGATCAAGAGCATCTGCGCTTGATGCTTCGGTACAGTTTCCTATTATCTTTATCTCTGACTTGTTTCCTGCACCATTTGTGATTTTATTCAGCTGAGTTTTCTTTTATAATCACAGCCCTTGACTTCACTCCCCTACCCCTCCACCACTTACCTTTATCTCATTTTGTCTTTTCATATTTCTGTTTCTCACTTATTTTCTGTCTTCACTGCCTTTTCTTACACCGAATCTGCAACAGTCCAATAACCCTCCTTTTTTGTTTTCTTTGCATGTACTGACAGTTTGAAAAATACACCCATTAAGTACTGAGTATTTTTTTACATGCCTCACTGGATACATTTTCTTTTTGTTCAAAAATTACTTTAAATCAAGGAAAAATGTCACAGAGCAAGGTAGCATTATCAGTCCCACCAATACAGTCAGTGGTTCTCACAGGTTGCCTCAGTTATAATAAGTGTTCATTATTACAGTCTCCAGTAATAATGAACACTTAGACTAGAGTCCAGCTGAGCATTGTATCAATCATTTTATTGTAGTCAATATAAAAGTAGGTAATATACAGTATAATTACAAGCTGTAAAACTGTTAAAAGGAAGGATACTCAGCAATATCTGTGCTGTGCATGTGCAGTGCCACCCACAATCACCTAAATCTCACTCAGTGAGCTTCACCACTCCTTCATATTCTCCTTGAGACTGATGAGGGGGAGTGAGGCAGAACTCAGTGCACCGTACAACCTGTGAATTAATTTTAGCACCTGAGAGATTCCTCTTGATTTTAAGAGCTGTGTTTCCTCTTTGTTAATGAAGCCTCGGAGTGGATGAGTATGCAGTGAGGTAACAGCCACTCTGCCCACAACATTTTTCACACAGTGATGTTTCTCAGTGGGCGGGCACCATCCACAGTCACCTCGAATTGTGTAGCCATAGGCAGTGACGCACAGTTATATTTAAAGCACCTGTATGATTTCCATGATAAGGCATAACCTGTTTTTATTGTTTGTACTGGAAATGCCCCTATAGACAGCAATGACACGGTATTTTCTCACCCCGAGTTTACATCCAGCTTTCCTGCATCACACGCCATATAACGTTTAATGTATGTATGCTATTCACTCACAGTTCCTTCAGTAACTGTAAGTTTGCAAATCCTTGGCCCTTGATTTCATTGTGCTACTTATGAATGGTGGTATTATTATCATCTATACCCTTTAAAGTATGATAATCTGAGTGTATATATAACTCCATATTATTGTTCCTGCAGAGTGCAAATTTAATTCCATGCCAAATGTATAATATTTTATACATGAGTTTGTATGAGTTTTTGAGACCTCTACATAATAAGTTTGATTTTTGAAATTTCATCACAGGGTTCAATGAATACGTTTTCAGGAAGTCTCTTTTTTTAGTGAGTCAGTATACATGATTTAAGCATGTGGAGAAATCCAAAGCATGCAGGCTGAGTAACTTTTAAGTCATGCTTGCAACCCTGTAAGTGGTGTTTGAGGCAAAGTTATATATTTGGAGTTAATTAGCTTTAGCGCTGGATTTTCACTTTTATACAGAGGCAGACTTTTTGCTAAGTTAACTGGCTGCCTCTAGCCTGATATTATCTTTGTACATATATCATGAAAGTGATAGCAATCTTCTCATCTTTAGTAACTCTTGATGAGAAAGATCCAAAAGTGAAGTGCTGCTGTATGTACTGTTTATTGTTCAGAATTTCTGGACACAGACCGCTTTTAAGCATTCACTGGGTGCGCAGATTTCCTAGTATTGCTTATTGTACTGCTTGTACTCCCCACCACTACTAGACACACACACACACACACACACACCCCATTCAACCCTCTTCCAGGCAATTTTGGCTTGGAAACATCATGTGTGAAGACCATTATGCTCCCGGCTTCACACAACATCTATAGGAAAGGTCCTCTTTGAATTGACAGCTCAATTGCTTGGAGGCAAAGCATCATAGAAAGAAACCAAAAACCCAGCAGGATTCCTTTGGATTAGAAATAGAACAGAGGACATTTTGACTTTTCATATTTTTTGCCTTTCAGCACAAAACAAAAAACCTATCATGATGTGATTCCCATTTCCTGCCTTACTGAGTTCCCCAACGTGGTTCAGATGGCCAAGGTAAAAACGTATGATTATCTTCATACACACAAAAAAATCTCTCTGCATATAATTTGACTTTGACAAGTGTATTTTTTCATTCACAGCTTGTTTGTGAAGAAGTAAACGTGGATAGGTTTTACCCTGTCCTCTATCCGAAGGTAAGCAGTACTCCTCATTGCCACTTTATCTTTTGATCCGTGTTATCCCTCAATACTAAAGTACCATGAATCGGACTAGAAACTCAATTTTCTCTTATCCTCAGGCATCAAGGCTCGTTGTCACCTTTGATGAGCATGTAATTAGCAACAATTTCAAGTTTGGGGTTATTTATCAAAAGTTTGGTCAGGTGAGTGCACTTCAGTGATGCTGCTGCAGCTTATTTCAGCTTTTGAAGTCACGCGTCACTCTTCCTGAAAATTTTATTTGCTTCTTCCCTGCAGACATCAGAGGAGGAGCTATTTGGGAACATGGAAGAAAGTCCAGCCTTTGTTGAGTTCTTGGAGTTTCTGGGCCATAAGATTGAACTTCATGACTTTAAAGGGTTTGGACAGTTTTGCATTGTGAAGTCTTTCCCCCAAAAACAGAAAAACTGACCTTTAAAGCACTTTTGGTTATTCTCACTCGAATATGATGTGAGATGCATTATTCTATTGATCAGTGTTGGCTTAAAGAGCAATGTAAAAAGCCCTGATATTTGTAGTATTGACTGAGGGATTAAGCAAGCAAAAATCAATGATGAATCAGCATGGATGGACAGTTGTCAGGGAGCACGCACCTATGTTCCACTTTTCCGCTTTATCATTCTCTTCTGTCTTGTGTCTCTCTGCTGTTAACCACAGTGTTATACTTGCCTTCTTCTCTTGTTTCCTCCTCTCTTATTTTTATTGCCTCTGCCCTTATCTTTCTTTTGTCTTCTCTTTCCTTTCTTTTTCAGTTTTCGGGGTGGACTCGATGTCACTCATGGCCAGACAGGGACAGAATCCGTCTACACAAATTTCCATAATAAGGAGATCATGTTTCATGTGTCCACCAAACTGCCTTACACAGAAGGAGACTCACAGCAGGTATAGTGATAATGCCAATGATTAATCATTTAGGAAACCAGTTTGTGTTTTCAGGACCTTCAGTAATCGATTTGTAAAGGTCTGTGCTTGTGACACATTCATGCGTCTGCAGCAGCGGCTGGCGGGTCAAGGCATTTAACTCAGTGCTGATAAAGGAAGATGAATCATGTTCATTTGTAACTTTGATGTGCAAAGTGGAAAAAATAATGATTCAAATTGTACATCAGGGATACTTCTTTGCTTTTTTGCTGAGAGTTGTTGAGAAGAATTGCCCTAGTGTTCTTACAATAAACACTATATTGAGACTAAAAACAGCTTGAAGTAAACAGCTTTTCTGGCTCGTTATTAAAGGTAACGAGCGAGACTCCTCTAACATGTTATAAATTTGTTTATTTTTTTGTAATATTGATTTCTGGTGTTTGAACTTAGTTCAGCTTTTGATGCCATCAATATCACAATTCTGAGTTCACTTTAAAGGTCGGCCTCAAAGAAAGAAGCCTGGTTTACATCATATTTGTTAGATTAAGCTCCGCGATCGCTCATGATTCGTCCTCTTTAGGGGCCACTGACATGTGTTATTCCCACGACTCCATTCTGGGCTCCTTGTTGTTCTCTAATTGCATGCCTCCAGTTGGGCTTATCCACACACATTATTCATGATGATCACACAGATTTACATCCTATTAAAAGCTGTAAAAAAAAAAAAAAAGTAGCCTATAGCTGCTTAAGCCTCCCTTTACTAGTTACCAGTTAATTTGAGACCACAATAAAACTCCAAGTTAAAATCCAGGTTATTGATATGGGCACGTTTTGCAGGACTTCATTCAGTTCTCCAAAGGACAGGTCACACTAAGTCAGCTGAGGTGAGATCTTGACTTTGACTGGGCCTATTTCAACACTGTTTGTTTTCTTTTTCAGTACATCAGTTGCAGATTTGTTGTGTGCTTGGGATCATTGACCTGTTGTGTGACATAATTTAGGCCAAACTGTCAGACAGATGGCCTCATGTACAGAGGAGTTCATGGTTGGCTTAATGACTGCAAGGTGCCTATGTCCAGGACTGCATAGAGCCCTTCTAAAGCTTTTGTTTTCAGAACTGTACATACATATCTTCCATGTTTGTTTGCTATTTTTATTACAGCATTCCAGGGATTGGCAGATATTAACAACAGAAGTAAATTTATATAAAATTCCATGTTTGTTGTGCTCACTTACCCTAGAGAGAAATAGCATTTTTAAGGGTTACCATTTCCACTAGAATTACAGTGGTCTTTTTTATACTGAAGTTTCTCCTCTCTTGAAGACTTTTATCTATTTGATGTTATGTTGCAGTGAGCTGCATTTGTCCTTAGCTGCTCTTCCGTCCCTTCTAGAGTGGTTTGAACTTTGTTACCGCAGTAACCCTGTACAGATGGTCCATATTGCCTAGGCATGGAGAGATACAGAGAGCATAAACAACACCCACATGAGATGATTCACCAGGGAACTCAGGAAAAGAAGGCAAGGTGCAAGAGTAATAGCTCAGTATTCAGTACTTCAGGGAGGAAAAAGTAAAAGATTTCAGTTGCCAGACCTTACTGAATGTAATCAGATTTGAAAGGTCTTACAGTAATAACAGATGTCAATTGTTTCAAATCAGTGACACATACGCTAAGCCTGTTTGTGTGTGGTGATGGTATACAATTGCAGTGTTTGGAAAAATTAGATAGAGCGTCTTCAGCTGTTTGATTTCAGAGAGTCGTTGTGTGAGTAAATACTGAAGCCGACAGATAATCAGCTCAGGGGTGATGCAGTAGTAGCCTGGATGACATGAATCATAGCCATGTGTAGCCTAATTCACCTTCATTACTGTCGTAAAAATGCATTCTTTACAAAACCTTACTATTTTTATCAATTTAAGCTGAATATTGTAAAACTTGACTTAATTCCTATCAGACTTTCAACACAGTTGCATAAAACTCATTTTGCAGATAAACTCAGTTGTGATAAAGTTATCAGAAAACCATCAGTTGTGAGACTTATTGAGAGCATCTTTGATGTTTTTTCACATAATTTCACTTTTTTTTTTAATGTAATAAACTGGCATATTTATAAACACTTCCCAGAATCAGAAACACATGTCTTCTTCATATGAACAAACAAACCTAAGTTATAACCTTATTAAACTGCTAGCAGAAAAGCAAACACCATAATCATCTCTAAATCCTATTTGCTATCAGTTGGTTGACTCTAACACAAGCACCAGCCAACACAAGAGCTCTTTTCAACAGGTGTGAAATAGCTTTGTAAAAAGGCTGTTAATTAGTCTGTCAAAGACAAAGGCTAATAAGCGAATGCTGCTGCTGAGCAAGTGTCACAGTACTGGGGAGTTTTCTGTGGGGTTTTTTTTTTTAATAAAGGCTGCCTGCAATGAGAATACATCCCTCTGATTGATTGATTTCCTTTATCACCAAATTGTATCCATTTGCAAAATCTGATATATCTTCCCTCCACTTATATGCAGTGGTAACATTTGGGTCACACGGTTTCCACGATAAGCATCTTTCTTCTAGTTTGGTGGGCTGAACTGAATATGAGATGATATTCCCACATTCACTATCTTCTCAAATTATTTTACTGCTTGGTTCCTGAAAGGAAATATGGGACGCTATTATGTCTCAAACAGGAAATATGCTTTGACTCCTGGAAAGTCCTTTTCTTCTTTTAGAAGGAAGAGAAAAAATTAGATAGTCTTCTTAGATAGTCATAGAAGCTGGTGAGCTGTTTAATCAACGTTCCTAGCAAAAAGGCAATGAAGTGACAACATCTATTCATACTTGAGCAAAGGAAGAAGATATCCCTAATGCAGAGCTTTTTGAAAGATACCGCTTGGATACAAATATTAATACTTGAGAACAGTCCCTTTGTCCTCCAAATGCATGAGTGTCCTTTTGGCAACTTCAAGCTTTTGGCAGCAAAGAAGATGAAGTTATTTTGCACCCATGATAACATTCAGTCGTCAGCAGATTCATAAAGCGTTTTTTGTTTGAGTTTGAAGTGTTAATTACCAAAATATCCACACTTTTCTCAAATAATTCGAACTCTGTCTTAAGTCTCAGTCTTACAGTGAAAAATCTGTTTCCCAAAGCAGATTTCTGTCTGTACTTTCAGAAATGCTATATATACCCATGAGTTGCATGTGTTTTGTATATATATTTAGTTTCTGTAAAATATTGAGATTTTTCATCTTATTAAATTGTTGGAACAAGAGCTTCAAGATGGATTTAATTTTTTGGCTGATGGCGTCATGCGTTTCAGAGGGAGAGATTGTGCTCTTTTGGATTAAAGTCATGTCTACCTTGCCAGTCAGTCTTTTAGAGCAATTGCTGGCAGTGACGTTTTTTTTGACAGGCCTGTATTTGTGTTAGCAGAAGTGGTCATTTGAGATGTTTCCGCTGTTGTTAGCTTTGTTTATCTGTGCCCTCCAGCTGCAGAGAAAGAGACACATAGGCAACGACATTGTGGCCATCGTGTTCCAGGAGGAAAACACGCCCTTTGTACCAGACATGATCCAGTCCAACTTCCTGCATGCATATGTGGTGGTGCAGGTGGAAAATGCATGTACAGACAATGTCACCTACAAGGTTGGTTCTAAGGACAGTCAATACTGTATCAAGAGGATTTGAACAATAGGGACTTGTAACACCCATTTATAGATTTGCTCATCCATTATTAAGGAATTTTATTCTACTCTCTAGTTTCTAATAGTGGCGTGTGTATTTCAGTCTCTAGGCTTACCTGCTTTCTTTTTTAGGTTTCTGTGACAGCAAGAGATGATGTACCCTTCTTTGGGCCTGCTTTGCCTGACCCTGCCATCTTCAAAAAGGTCAGTTAACTCCATATTTTCCTTTTTCACCACACAGATAAAATAAATATTTTACTCTGACCTCTCATCTTTTTATTTGTTTTATTCAGGGCCCCGAGTTTTATGAGTTCCTCTTCACTAAACTCATTAATGCAGAATACGCCTGCTACAAGGCTGAGAAGTTTGCCAAGTTAGAGGTGAGAAGCACACTGGAGCAAATTGTGCCAAGGGAGTGTGAATGTCTGTAGTGTTGATACAGACTTAAGCACACGCCTGTTTGCACAGGTCTGCATCCTGCTGGCTGTACTGATACGAAGTGGAAACATAGATTGTTGTCCAAATCATCTCAGGCAACAACCCTGATGCTTATCAGCGTCGTTGCTGATGTTTATCATCCTGAAGCAATTGTTCAATCCCTCCTTTTAAATGGTGAATATTAGGTTTATAGTCGGTATGAAAACGAATTGTCTTGTTTGTTGTTGTCAGGAGCGAACTCGTTCGGCACTTTTGGAAACACTGTATGAGGAGCTGCACATAAACAGTCAGTCCATGATGGGTCTGGGTGGCGACGAAGATAAGCTGGAGAATGGGGGTGGAGGAGGTGGAGGAGGAGGAGGCTTCTTTGAATCATTCAAGGTAAACTGTCATTCCTCATTTGATGGAGTGCCTTTGTAATCTGCAACTCTACATGCATGAGAGAGAATAGTGATGAGTGGAGAAACTTTTAAGGTGCTTTATTTTGTGCGTCCTCTGTCTCTTGGCTGGGATTCTGGGTATTCACACATCAAAAAACAAAGCATTGAAAATCTGCGGTATCTCAAAGGACCAGTCCTGTGGCATTTGCATTCCTTACTTGGCTGTGACTGCTGAACTCAGTGTGCTCTCACATGATGGTGTGGTTTTGAGGCTGTGGAGTGTCCTGTTGTGTATGAAAGGCACTTCGCTCTGACTGAGAGCGCTCCATCAATGACCATTAGGGTGGTGGAGCGTAGCTCAGCTGCTGAGGCACGGCAGTAGAAGCTGTGATGGTGTGTGCCTGATGAACGATTTAATGACCCCTCATTAGGGAGCTGATGGTGCAGTTTGGATGTCTCCTCATGGGCAGCATTCCTTTGCTGTTTTGCTCTTTGCTCTGTGATGATCACTAGTTCTAGGTCATCTTTTCTGCTGTTTCTCTGCAACTTCAGAGATATATATAAAGCCTTTCTTTCATCCTCTCTTGCTCTGCTGTTTGCTAATGTCTGTCTTTCTTCCATACATTCATAAACTTATATAGATGAGCACAGATGAGCTCCCACCCAAGAAATCCTACCTCATTTTTCTTTCTCACTGTCGAGAATGGTCTTGCTGCTTGGTCTTTTTTCTGGCTCTCTATATACTGTTCTACTCCCTCTTCTACTTTCCGTCATAATAGTCTTGGTCTTTTTTGCTCATGACACAAAACCCAACTCCAGACTCACCGTGTTAAGTGACAATTTCCATCCTTAATGCCTGCAAAGCCTACACTCTCTTAAATCCTCTGTGAACCTACATGTCCTCCACACAGGCGCTCCCCTCTACATGCTATCCTGCACTGCCCCTAAGTGTTCAATAAATAATCATGCATACATCCATACACTTGCATATGCACATTTAAACACACCAATGCACACATACATGCCCATATAAACACATTTTATCCCTTAGCTTTATCACATTTACTGTGATGTACATTTATGTAATGTATGGCATGTAGCTCAAAGAATCATATTGATATAAAATGAAAGAGAAACAGTGGACCAGGTGGAACAAATCTCAGTTGGCACTAAGTGGAATATAGTTGAAGAAGTACATGTCAGTTAAATCATTCCACTGATTTCCACTAAAGGTTTTAGAATGCATAATAATACATAGAGTGGTCTGCTCTAGCAAAATAAAAAATAGAAAACATATAATCGTTTTAAGTTAGATTAGATTTCAGTATAGATTCACAATCATTTGAAGTATATAATGCTTTGCACTATTCATCAGGGTGTTGTGTTTCCACATATTAACGTGGATCCACTGACAGCATCTCCTCATTTCTCTCTGTAGCGGGTCATCCGCAGCAGAAGCCAATCTATGGACGCCATGGGCCTCAGTAACAAGAAGTCACACACAGTCTCCACTAGTCACAGTGGCAGCTTTACCCACAATCCCGCAGAGAGTCCCAAAACCCCAGGGATTGTAAGTAGCCCATTTTGGTTCACACGTTGCCCACCTAACACTTAGATTCAGGGTATAGTATACTCGCAGAGCAGTGGGTTCACGTACAAAATAAATTAACCACTATTCTTTCTCGTAAGAAGCGCTTTGGGAAATTACTCTTGTTGGCACATTGGAGCACTTTACTTTGATCAGTATGTTAACATCAAACACTCACTTTCATTCCCTAGATTTTAAATTCACTGTTGCTTTTACTAAATCAGATTTCACTGATCAGTTCATAGTGTTCATGTTAATACCTTTTTTTATTTGGAAAATTAACAGAAGAGCTCATTCGCCATTTGTCATTCATCCTCATCTGTTTAAAGAATCGTTATCTTCACAAAGAGTGACAGACTTCTAGGATAATGTTATAAAATAATGTCAGCTGTGGAATTAACCCAGTGATTTTCTTATCAGTATATATAGATGAATGATTGCCTGTGAGCCCCAGTCTAGTCTCTATTCCAAGTTGTGAAGTGAGCTCAGTCCAGCTGCTGTATGACTACCCAGACTCCCTTGCTCCTTGCTGTGCTTTGTCATATATCCTCCTGCAAATATTGTAATTTTTTTAAGCAGCCTTGTGCATGTGTGGCTGAAGAAGATGCATGGCACAAACCATAGGAGCTCACTGTCTTGTTTGTGTCTCTTTGAAAGATAGATAATTTCTTTTCAAACTTGTTTAAGATTTGCTGCAGCGTGCCATTTGGTTACTAACTTTACTAATCCAGTTTAATAAAAGAAGACACATTTTGGAAGCTACCCTTTGGTTTGCATCAGCCTTTTTGTCCCATTTCTTCTTTTTCTGAATGTATCACTAAACTAACTTGTATCCCTCAGGGCAGAAACTGTTGGCTTGCCCGCTACCTTGACACTATATCCTGCTGTGCCCTCCTATGTTGGACCCCAACCCGCTTCTGCTCTATAACGCCTTTCACTGTTTCCTCGATATTATGTCTTCTCTGTTGAGTCACGTTGCAGTCTCCTTTTTAAGCATTTTTTGCACCTTGCTGTTTAAATTCTCTGTGCTGTTCGCATGAGATCTTATGATGTGTTCTTTTCTTTTCCTTCCCCCTCTTGCTTTTTCAATCTCCTCTCTCTCTGTTTCTGCTTTCCTTGCCCTGTCTTGTGTACCTCAGTCATTGCTTGTCCCAGGGAAAAGTCCCAGTAAATATGGACGTCGAGGCAGTGCCATAGGGATAGGAACAATAGAAGAGGTCCACGTATATTCTACCTACTTATCTTTAATTTACTATTGTCTTTGTATAATGTAATGTTTAATTAGTATTTACCCTGTTTTAAGTTTAAAATACAGTTTAATTCCTGTGGCTGTGAGAGGTTTTCAGATTTGAAGAATTTATCAGTTATATTGATGCTTGTCGAGTTATAGTTTTAATTACAATTTCCTTCATTTCATTCATTTGCACAACCATCATGGGTTTTGGTAGACAGAAGGCAGATCAGTGTCAGGACTTTCATGCACGAATTTGTTTGCACCATCGTACTTTTAAGTTAGTTAAAAGTAACTGCAAGAGAAAAATATATTGTAAAAGGAGAAGATAAACAAACTCCCACTTATGTTCTCATAGACAGTCGCACATCAATGAATCATACTGCATCTTAAAGGAAAAGTGTGCACCAGCCAAGCTGATGTACACGCTGCACCTAAGAAAATAAAATGTCAGAGATAATCAGATGTTCAGAGATAAGAGTAAAAATAATCAGTTATAGAATATATAATGCATTTTTGTCTGGAGCCAAGTTCATCACGGATTTGTAAAATAAAATGTTTTACAAGTTTGTCATAACTTTAACTCAGGATTTATCCAACCGTTACTTCAGAATTCCTCTACAAGATATTTCTACATGTAGAAAGCTTCACTTTATGCACTGCATATCATGTTTTGTTGTTATTACACTATCCCCAAACTGTGTGTCTTACTTTCCTCTCCCTACCCACCGTCAGTCATTGATCATTCCTGGGAAAAGCCCAACCAGGAAAAAGTCTGGACCGTTCAGCTCCCGTCGCAGTAGTGCTATTGGCATCGAGAACATCCAGGAGGTCCAAGAGAGGAGGTGAGAGGACAGAGCAGAGCTGATCAGCAGAGAGTGGGTAGTGAAGAGAGAACAGTGTTGTAACAGATGGAAGACAAGACATTAAAAGGAGGGATACAGCTATTAGAAAATGCACTGTGTAAGATCAAATCTAAGAGAAGGGCTTGTCAATGCTTGATTTGATTAAAAAAAACAACAACTGCACAGCTGTTGGTTGCTGTCAGCGGTTCAGCTCATAATGCTCAGTTTTAGGGTGGAGCCATGCTGAGTGATATGAATGCACTGTAACCATTTATTGTTAAACGAAATCAGATGAGCTATTTTGACTACTTTATATCCTCTCCTGAAGCCGAGAAGTATCACCCAACACCCAGAGGACACCAGAGAGTAGCCACATGTCACAGGAAAACAAATCAGACAACTCCTCCAATCACAGTTCTCCAGAGTTTCCTACCACAAAGAACAGGTGACTGTTAATTTCATTATGTAAGAGTATACTACTTTGTATTATAGTCACACACATTGAATCAGTTTGAAAATTGTATTTTGTAGAATGGAACAGTGACATGGACGATTGCTCTCCAAGTCATAGTCCTAATCCTCTTCAGCCAAATGAATATAACAACCCCAAACGTTCACATTATTCAGTCAAACTGTGATCAAACTATGGTCCTTTTGCTTGTAACTGCTTTTTTTGGGAACAGCAGATGAACTCCAACATAAAGATGGCAAAGTAATTAGACTTTTAAAGTGCACATTATTTTATTTTATTTTATTTTTTTTAACATTCCTTAATGAACTCAGTAGAAGGAAACCACAAAGTGATTACGTGACCAGAGTGACCCAGGTGTGTAGTTTGGCAATGTGTTGCAGGGCACCGTCTATCCCTGAGGCGCAGGACCTTTCCCGCTCCTCCTCCAATGCCAGCAGCTTTGCCAGCGTCGTGGAGGAGCATGAAGCAGAAGAGGAGTACGACACTGGACTGGTAGGTGGAGTAATTACACATTATCAAGTGCATGCATAAATCTTACTTCCTCCAAAGCCAAAATAAGTCATCAGCGTCCTAGCATTGATGATCCACAAGTGCTTCCATCAGCATTTATTCCACATTTACTGCAGTGAAAGTATCGCTTTGGTTTTTATCTGTTATTTGCTGTAAGCTGAACAACTGGGAAAAAATCCATGAGAAGGCTTGATGGATATCACACCATTCTAGTTATGACTGATTATGAAAACAATTTTCTATTTCTTTCAGATAGACTGTCTGCATTTACAAAGAGACAAAAACAAATGCACAACTGAATAAAACTTTAGTTTTGATTGTGCTGCCTTCATCTTATTATAAGTTATATATCAAACTTACTTTACTCTTCTTCCAGGAAAGTGTGTCGTGTGTTACACCAGTCAAAAAAGATTCATTTGTGTACAGCTCTGGGGTGGAGGACAGTACCAGCCAAGGAAATCTCCCAGGTGAGCTTGGGAGCTCATATTACTGTCTCAGTAATATCCTGAAGTTGTGGTTACCAAAAGGTCAACTGTTTCACATGTCAAGAGTATCTGGGGGAAATCTATATAGGGCAGTTGCAAGAATAACACTCTGTGTTTTCTAAGAAATTAATATTAAAGCACCCTTGAGTGATGGAGCTCAGCTTCCCCATATGGAGCTTACCAACAACAACAGTAGGCATGATTTGTACAATTTAGCGAACTCTTCCTGAATGGCTCACATTTACTCTGAAAATGTATCTGTTTCCCACATGAAACATACCCCACATTGAGGGGTTTTGTATTTATCCTTTTTTCGGCTATAACAGCTGGCAGAATTATATGCTTGAGTTCATTAGCCATGACAGCAACACATCTGTCCCCTTCCTTCCAGCAGCTTCACGTCTCCAGCAACAACCGGACGCAGCGAGGACATTAGAACCAAAAGGGACAGACAGCCGGTCAAAGATGGAGCGCACTCAACAGGAGCACAAATTCTCATCGGTAAGACAAAGTGCTTGGTGCAAGTCATCAAATAACACCGCAATGCTTTCATAAATTGGTAGAATGATTTAATAAGCGACTTGAGTAAAAGGACCAATATTCCTGCTGGTCATATAAAATTGTTCTGGGAAATTATATTCGCCTGTTTTTGTTCTACTAGTTTCTGATGCTGTACAGAGTACAGTAATACATCTACAGGCGTGAGGGTACAGTGGTTTTAGGTCCACATTCACTTAACATCTGAAAGCATGTTAACTGAATGCATGCTTAAACTAACACTCAAAAGTCTATAACGCAGATGTCATTTGTTTTGAAATGATCTAGTAGTCAGCCCAAACAGATGATAAATCAGAGAATCACTAAACCCACCATCTTCTCAGAAGAATGGGTGTCTATACAGACTTTGAGCCCCATGCATGTTTAGTTGGATGTATGCATGTTGAGATATTTGACATAATAAGTTGAACTTAGTTTTGCAAGAGGAAAGTTAATTTGTGCAATTAACTTAAGTGTTCATCTTAATTAAGGTGTATTTTCCCTTTTAAATCAAATAAATATAACATGTAAACATGAAGACACTATGCACTAGCATAGAAAGATTAATCAATGCAAACCAATAAATATTTGCATATTGACTGCACCATGATTTCTCATTCCTTATCTGTATGCAGAACTGTTAGCCACTCTGTCGCCCCATCATTGACATCCATTTTTCAGGTAGGTTATAATGTTGCTACAGCCTAAGGGATAAATTCCCACATTCCTCCATCCCCTTATTACTTCATTTACCTGATGCTTCCTTCTGCCCATTTATGTATTTCCTTTTCTCCCCTTTTGTCTAAGCATTCCAATAAGGGGCATCTTTGTCCAAAAGAAGCAAGCCAAGGCCATGTCAACTCCATCAATGCAGAAAAGGAGCAGTCAGAAGCCAGATCAAGCAACTGACAGATCATACTTTTTATGTTTGACTTGGATCTGCTGCGTGACATGACAGACACCCAGACACCTACCTACCACCATCTCCATGCGAAAACCTCCGTTTTGTTCAGTACAAAGGAAAAGGACCTCCGCACTCATGCAGCATCTCTCAGCTGGCAATGCACAGTACATGTGCTCGCCTTCTCATTCTTCAGGCCAGTAAGCTCCGAAACCTAATTCTTACTGTAAAAACTCAAAGATCGGGATTCAAATGGAGATTTAATCTTGTCACTGAAAGAGTGGTTAAAGAAATCCACACAGATCAAACAGCCGGTGTTTGTTCAGCCTGTAAAGAGTTGAACTACAGAAGAAAGCTTTGTTTTTTAATGTCAAACTCACATCCCACTGTGATATTGGTTTGACTTTGATGTATCAGGTGTATGTGGCTGTATCTAAGGCCGCATTTTGTGTTTAAATGTTGATGTATTCTTTTCCGAGTATTCTTCAGTAGATATTTGTTGTGTTTTACAACTTCAGCAAGAGTATGTCAAGTTTTAATCAAGGGTACTTTCATGATGCTGTTGCTGGTGGATGTAAAAACTATTATTCACCTTTCTCATTTTTAATTGATGGGTTACATATAAAAGACAAAAACTGTGCCACAGTGAAAAAGAGACCTATTGTAAGAGAAACGTTGACCCTATTGGTTTAGTTTAAGACAAAAGCAGAGCTACTGTAGTGCCCAAACCAGCGACACGCATCATCAAATTTGCAAACTTAAAAGCAGTTCTTTAAACTTTTCAAAGATCTTTTCCACACCCCATTTGTTGATGTCTGTGTACAGGTGTGTATACAGCAGTAATGTGTACGGTGTAAATCTGCTTGTCAAAATCCTCTCCTCTGTAAACTGGTGCCATGCTTGACATAAAGGTGTTGTCCTTGTGATTTGTGTTTTACCGAAAAACCAGCCGACATCTCCAGATGCAGTGCACACTGCTAATAGAGAGCCAAATGTCAAAGTTTCCTACTTTATATGTAAAGTGTAATATATGTATGTGACTTAAACACTACATTTTCAGAGATACTCCTGAACGTTGACCTTTTTGAAAAACCCGATTTGTTGCTGAAAGTAAATTACACTGTGACTCGTCTTGAAGTTGCCTTTATGATTGTCATGTGAGCTGCTTTAAAGAAGGGTTATTTTTAAAGGCACTGTGCTGCTGCCTGATGGCTTGAATGTAAAATGAGGCAGAGATGGATTCATTTGTAGATATTTGCTCACAATAGTTATACTGTGTTGTTTCCTGACGACAGTAAACTTGAGCCTGAAGCAGAGAAGCTTACATGAGCAGAGAAGCTTTTTTTTAAGTTGTGAAGGAAAAAGCTCATATAGGGATGATTTATTTCAGTGACATGACTGAAGCAGACCTTTGTCTGTTGTGAATTAACGACGGCATTTATAGTTAGAGACAAAAAGTTGAAAACACTGGACCAAATGTACTGTTTAATGTACTCACTGAGTTGTTTATAGCATAAATCACTCTCAATACAACACATGCACAGAAAAACATAGACAAATGTAACAGTAACACATGTCAGTTACAGCCTTTCAGAATCATTTAAGGGAGATGTATTCAAATCATTTTTCCTCCTGAATCCTTGAGTAGATAAAGCCTGCCCTCGTGTGGCTCTGAGTTATTATAGCACATCACTATGTGGTACCATCATCTATCTGTGCTTGCACTGTATGCTAACCACAACACTGGAAACCAGTCTTCTCTGTGCTTGATTCAAATGATTGTATTGATTCTTGTCAGTTTGCTTAAGCACTTGTTTAAAAGAAACGTTTGTACATATAGCTTTTTTTGTAAAATAAGCTAACTAAAAAGTTTAATAAAGTTGAAAATGCATAAAGTGAATAAAGTTTCATTTCTGCAATAAAAAAAAAAAATCATGTTTGCCATTTAAGTATTTCTGTGTGACAATGAAGCACATTCAAAGGCATTCCTCATTCATGAAGGCAGAGATGATACTCTTTAAGGCTTTAAGGAAGCTGTTTTCCAAGTTATCTAATACACCAACCTAACCACCACCATCTGCTCCTTTTAAAGTTAAATCCCCCAAATTTTTATGAAATCCATTCCCAGGCTGGATACCAAATACACGTGTTTTAACATTCTGTAAGTACATCTTTGTATATATGTAGATTTGTTAGTATCATCATTTAGTTAGTCCACCATTGCATCACTGCTAACTGATTCCATTTCGAGGCACATGAAACATAGCATGCATGCCTTACTTACCCTGTTTACAGTGTGTCAGAGCTACATTAAGATACTGTTAATGCAATGTAGTCTGTTCCCACAGCTGCTGCTTCCTTACCTACAAAATCTTTAAGTGGTGAAATGGGGTTAAAGGCTCAGCTCTTTTTTTTTTTTTTTAAATCAGCAGAGTAAGAATATTGTGGCAATATTTTTTAAGATCAACATGTACCGTAGCTCTTTTCATCATTCTCTGCATGACATTAGAAAACAGTTGCATTTATCACCGACGATCCTTTCTAATTTCTTATTTTGTAAAGCAACATTTTCTGATCTTTAGTATTCATTACAAAATTATGACAATGAAGTGTTTGCTATGGCAATACAATGATTTTCATGATGGGCGTCACCAAATCAACCAGGGCAGAAATCTTTCTGTGTCATATCTGTATTATTTACATCTCCAGGTTCCACCACTTGAACTCAAAGGGCTCCCTGCGGACATTGGACCCACAGTGGACCTCTCCCAACAGCTGGTGGTAGGATGAATAGTCGTCAATGAACGTGCAGTTGAGGCCCAGGCCTTCCATTAGAGAGCACATCTCAGCCTCGAGTGCACATCGTCCATTCACTTTGGGGCCAAAGGGCTTTGGGATACCAAGGTTTTTCCCCAAAACAATCATGTTCACCTGGAAACAAATATAGCAAATATAGTTCTTCTGTCAGCCCAAAGATTTATTTACATCTTTTTTCAACTAGCAGGAGTTTTGATACCTAATAAAATATAATGTAAACGTTACCATGTCGGGGTAGTAAGCTACTGCTCTATACTCCTTTTCATCCTCCACTAGTTTGAAGAGGATTGGCAGATCAATGATGTCTTCATCGTCTAGGCCTAGTTCCCTCTTCAACACATCCCGGTTCCAGTCGATGCAGCTCTGGAAATAAAATAATGATAATATATGCCTCTAAAATTATTCTCATTTTGCTTGTTAAATTACTGTGCTCAAAATATAAAACATTTTACCATAGTGGTTCATATGCTAATTTTGGTTTACGTACCACCAAAATCTACCCAAATACAAATGTACGTGAATATTAGCCCTAATATGCAGGTTAAGATCATTTAGCCACATTAACTGCAAACATTTATCTAAAAGAAAAATCATGCATACATCCATGCATGTGTCTTTGACGAAGCACTTGTCGCTAAACACGGGGTCACACTGCACAGCTCAGTGACTTTAGGGTGGCTTGGTCACAGAAGGACATTTTTACGTTAAGTCAGTTTGACAAATGTCCGGCCAGTGTTGTCACGGAGTGCAAACATCTATGAGAAGGAACAGCATGTGTAGAAGTATGCTACATAGGTTCATAGGCTGTAGAGTACAGATGCACACAGTAAAAATTAAACTTAGGAATTAAAGGACAAACGGCTTCTGAGAAAAACACAAAAAATGTTTGTTTGGACCTTTAAATGACAAAGGGGCTCAGAAGAGTAACTTGAGCAATGCCAAATGCATGCTAGGGTGGGGTAGAGTACAATGCAATTGGACTCTAAAGCAGCTGAAATATCTTAAATAATGAATCCTTTTTTACTAATGCTGCCTGAAACCAACAGTAAAGCTTGTTGGAAAGATAATAATGTTGTAGGGGCTGGTGGCCATGAATTAGTGCTGATAAAAAAAATTCCTAATGTACAGCATCCTGGCATTCCCCATTCCAATACCTTTGGCAAGAATTGAAATGCTGACTACGTGCCAGCCGCTCTCACTCAAAAACAGTTGTGCTTTCACTAATGCCATTGTGGGTGACTGGGGGCAAATCCTGCAACGAGGTTCTAAAATCCAGTGAAAAGCCTTCCTAGAGAGTAGAGGCTGTCATAGCACCATATTAATGCTCTTTGCCAGAATGTGATATTCAGCAGTTAGATGTGTTATCTTTGTTTACATACTTGTGTCTTAGTGCCTGAACTAGCATACCATATTCCTTTCTGGTCTTCTTTCTTTTCATCTTCTTTCTATTTCTACAATCTCACTCACCTGTACATAGTTATTTTCAGCTTGGAGTTTTTCATCCTTAAGGATTTTATCCAGTGTTATTTGTTCTGCATTTGTCAACCCTGTTTGGGAACAACATTCAGAGTGAGTGATAAGGCTTGGTGCCATGATGAATTTGTGCATGGCTAAGATGCCCTTGCATATATTCTACAGACGTTGCAGATAAACACTGGCCTACCATCAAACAACGTGGCTTGTCCGTGTCCACTGTTCTGTAGGCCTCTGAATAGTTTGTAGCCTGCGTCTGGGCTGGCCAACAGCAGTCGGAAGCCCTGTGAACAGACAAACAAGAGACAAAGATAACAGTGACGCTCTCATGTCCTAAAACCTTATATAATCCCACAATGTACAAAGAAGCATGTCACTATCAAGCAGATGCAGCACCAGATTCACTTCAGTAGAAAATGTTATTTACCTTTCTGTTAGGCGCAGGAACGAAAGTCATGAATTCATCCACGTGGCCAACAAAGAGCCAGTCAGAGAACAAGGCGATGGGCTCCTGAACCTTCTGAGCCCACAAGAAGTCTTGAACTACTTTGGTCATATTTCGTCCTTTAGTTGCCCTATAAGAAATATAAAGGTTTCACTTTGCAAAAGTCATCTGTAACATTTCGGCTCTTGGTACATTTGCTTATAAGTCAAGAATTGATCTTTGAATTTTTTAGAAACTCACGTAGGGAAGGCAACCCCAATGATGATTCTTCCCAGGGGGTATTTTTTTCCATTCACTGTGACAGGAGGACTGACCTCCAGATTGCCAAACGAATCTAAACTGCTCACATGTTCATCTAGGGCCACCCTTGTCACATAGCCAAAGTCGGGACCCTAGACAAAATAAATAATTGTTTGTGTTTTTTTTAATATAAATCAGTGTAAGTAATGTAATTTTCTGCTTTGAGCCTATAATTTGATTAACAAAACCAATGTGAATCATATACAATCAAAGCTTTTAATGACATCAACAGTAAAAACGTATTATAGGCATTTCTCCTACAAGCAGCTCATCATATGGAAAGTTTGCTAGATTGCCATCTCTCGGGGAATCCAGAACAACAGGAAAATGATGATGAGGTGAATCGATGTAACCAAATTCCAGTTCATCCTGAAAAATAGAAAATATATGTTATATTTATGCTGTCCTCTTGGCTTAGTTGATTAGAGAAATTTTTTTTCTTCATGTGAATGAATAGATATGTACGTGTTTGCAAATGTTTTTTGTGGTTTTCCTTTTTGCAGTGTGGTTGTTGTGAAACCAGTTGCCATTGTGTAATTTTTCAAAGAAACACTTTTCGTGGTTTTCGTGTTAATGTTAGTCTAATTTACTGTTCCCGTTTACTCGGAGTTATAAAACCACAATGTTACCATCATTAAAACTCAAAACCCTTCCTTGTTTAAAAAAAATGGCTTACCTGCATCCAGCGGTCACCTCTGTTTACATATTCATGACAAATGTTCAGCTTGTACCCACTCTTCGCAACAAGGTTCCTCATTCCTTTCAGGAACTGGTAGTTATCAGATGTGCTAACAAAGAAACAGTCAAGCAGTTTTTAGATTGTGCCACAACATAAGTAACATATTTTAATTTATTTTAGTGAGAGCTTTAAAAACAATTTAAAAATTAAATTGTAAAACAACAAATGTCTGTGAAAGCAGTATTTACACACACAAACAGGTCTGGCTTTCTTGGAAAGAAGGCAAGCTAAGGGGAATGTGTGACAGCAACAACAGCTGTCACTATCATGCTTATTATTCATGAGTCTACACTGACCTGCAGACAAATACCTCTACAGGTCGAAGCGTGTTGGGTGTCATGATCCATGGTGCCACTTTAAACACAACTTTGTCAGTAAAAATCGGCGTCTCAGGGAGACCCTGTTGAAACATGCGAGAGGCTGTTGAGTACTGCCGGTTATACCCCATTCTATGTTTGTAATGCAACATTAAAAAATGAATTCAAAAACTTCATGTTAACTGGAGTCACAAAATGTATCCGCTACAGTTATGCTGTAGTTAAGGGTGCAAAGAAAGAAGTGTTACACTGTAACGCTATACTCTGGATCTTACATCAGAGATTGGTTCTAATAGACTGAGGTTGATGGTGACGAGTCCATTGAAGTCTTTGTCAG